AAATAGAATTGTGAAGACAATGGTAGAATTCTCTAGAAAAATGTAGGTAGTAAACTCCACCTCCATATTTTGCCTACATATATGTGTGTGTGTGATGAGAGAAAGTGTAGAAAAAGAGTATAGAGAAAGAGAGTGGAAAAGAGGGACATAGTGAGGTGTTCTAGTGTGTTTAGTTAGTGTCTTTGGTGTGTGTCCAAAATTGAGTAAAACTTTATTTCATAAATAAAAATTATTTTCTTTAAGTGTTTAAACTCTACATTGAATGCATTGTTGGACGATGCTCTCCAATTCACAATACCTCAATTGTTTCCGAATTACATTTCTCTATGCAAAACACTATGTACAAAGATATACAACAAAAATAATGGATTTTTTTTAGTCAATAATAAATTGATTTGCTTCAATAGGATTTGTTGACCCCAAAAAATGTTGTCAACATAATTTCATCACGTCCCCTTCACGTAGACATTACCTGCACATGGAACACTCTGTTAGGAGGCAAAGACCACCAGTCGAGAAAAAGGTCCGACAACCGAAAATATGCCTCAAGATGTTTATTTCTCATCCATCGCCATCATAGAGTCGAGTTGTAAGGCCTCGTCATTCCAAGGACGCTTATAAGACTGTGATAGTTCGATGATTATTCACGGAATGTTTATTCCCCATCTTACTAGATGTTTATCCCTAATTTCATGAGATGTTTATTCCTCGCCCCTCATTGTCATAGAGCCTAGCTGTAAGACCTCGTCATTCTGAGACCGCTTATAAGACTCCGATAGTTCGACAGGTATTCGGGGGACGTTTATTCCCCTCCCTATTAGGTACTTAGTCCTGACTTGGTGAGATATTTATCTCTCGCCCCTCACTATCTCGAGTCTAGCTATAAGTCCTTGTATATCTGAGGCCTGCTTATAAGTCTCTGATAGCTTGAGACAAGACACTAGCTTAATATTTATTCCTCACTTCGCGAGATGCCTCACAAAATGAGTTATTGCTTTATAGCCACATTTATTTTCAGAAAGCTCATCATGCCTCTATATTACAGTTACCTATCTTTTAGAGTTTTACTTCTACTTCAACTATGTCACATCTAATTATCTTCGGACAGTTTACATATCCCTGCATGGACGAACCATCAATCATGCAAGAAGCCCTTGACATGAATGAACCATTCACCATGCAATGATGTCATTTATTGCTTCGTAAGGAGAAGGACGGGACCACATTATTACCTACGAAGACGAAGCCTTCTAAAGCTGGATCGAACACCATGAAGGATGCTCTTGCACAGAAAAGTAAACCCATTCCAAGGATGTCAAAAATAAAAAGGAAAAATTGCAATCGAGATACCAAACCTTTCGTTTATTAGCAGACTTTGTCCAAACCTTTAGTTTGTGCCACCGTGAGTACCAAAGCTTTAAAAAATATGCAACTCAAGTCCAAAATGACGGTTTCCATCTGTTTGACCCCAAAATCCGTCAATTGATCCCAGAAATTAAAAATTTAATAATTTGACCACATAAGATAAGGCTAAAATGGGGGTGTGTTTGTGTGTGTGTGTATATATATATATATATATATATATGTATGTATGTATGTATGTATACACCCAATAATGGGGAAAAATAGTCTCGCCATATCCATATGCCACCCGCCGTCGTCGGGCCATACCGCCATTCACTTCATCTCCACCTCTCTTAAATTCCCTCATTTCTCCGTGCATCTCTACCAACTTTCTACTCCCTTCAATCAAAAGCTATTATCTCACAACAATTTCTTTTTAGTATCAAATGGTTTACGGTTTAGCCACAACAGCAATTTTAGAGCCGAGACTGGATATTTGAATGTCACTGCCACTCAATTTCCTTGGGTGGAAATCTAATTTTGGATTCACACAAGAAAATTGCGTCACTCTTGGAGCCTATATTTTCTTGTGCTTCTATTATTGTTATTGATGATGATAATGGTTGTTGGGCTGGGAACAGTTTTCACCGCGAAACTTGCTATTGACCGCATTTCCGAACTCATTAGGTATGGATTGAATTTAGTTAAATGGCATGAGGGTCGTCATTGAAGGAGAAAATGGTAGATTGATTTGGTGGCGTTGGCTGTGGTTATGGGACGCGATGGCGGGTGGTTGTAGCAAGCAATGGTGGTTGGTTCTATGTTTTTATGGAATTAGGGAATGGGGGTCGGGGTTGTTGAAGGAGATGACCAATTTTCCTTTTTCCTTTTTTTATTGTTTTATATTAAAATGGTAAAATGACCACTTTAACCTTGTCTTATGTGGTCAAATTATTAAATTTTCAATTTCTGGGGTCAACTGACGGATTTGGGGTCAAACAGACGAAAATCGTCATTTTGAATTTGGGCTGCATATTTTTGAAAGGTTTGGTACTCACGGTGGCACAAACTAAATGTTTGAGTAAAGTTTGCTAATAAACGAAAGGTTTGGTACATCGGCTGCAATTTTCTCAAATAAAAATAAAAATAAAAAATAAAGAAGGAGCTCTAACAAGGACAGGTATGATGCCTCCTACAAGGAGCCACGCCTTACTACCTCAAAAGTTAATCCCTTTCATGGCTGGACCAAACACAATGAAGAAAGCCCTTGATATGGATGTGACACCCCCATGTAAGGATGTAAGTTTATCATAGCTATATATATTCAGAGCATCGCCTCTGCTACTTACGTTCAGAGCGTCGCCTTTGTGTCAGCTTATCAGATCTGCTTATATATTTAGTCTCATCTCTACATCAGCTTCATCACAGTGACTTATATGCGAAGTCTGACCCACATATAAATATTCAACTCGGACTTAGGGACTACTATGATACTAGTATCTTAGTATCATTACATTATTACTGCTAGTATATGCATTATATTATTGCTATCAAGTACGCATGTCATATCACTACTACCATGTCTCATGACCCATGACACTTTTTACTAGCACTAGCATGCATGTCACATTATCTACATTATCGTCAAGCATATAACTAGTTATGATACATGATAGGCTTTCTGCATATTATATCTTGGAGAAATATGATGTCATTATTCACTATATAGTTATGAGTATTTGGTGGGGGTAAATGGATCCAAATTTATTTTGGCCTTGTTTGGGAGCTATTTTGAAAATTGATTTTTTAATCGTTAGGAGAAAAGTGGGAGTCACCTGTAAGAGAAGAACTCAAACTTTACGATTGGAATAGTAAAATAGCGGTCAAAAAATTAATTTTTTGGATGAAAAAACTCCCAAACACCCTCTTTATATATGTGCGGTGGAGATATTGTGTTGTATTACATGTTGGTTTAGTCTATATTACAGAGGAGATGCTGCCGAAATTTCAAAAAATTATATGCAACATTTTTCAAGGCAATTCATAAGCTCTTGCTTATTCAAACTCGTACAAATATTTTTTCAAAGCAATTTGTAAGCCCTTACTTATTTGGACTTACACAAATATTTTTCGAGACAATTCGTAAGCCCATACCTATTTGAGATCGAGGCATATTTTCGAGGCAGTCCGTAAGTCTTTGTTTATTGGAGCTACTCATATTTTCTGAGGCAATTCATAAGACATCATTTACTTGACTACTTATATTTCGAAATTCAACCCGCACATGAATTAACGATTCGGACTTGAGGGACTATTGTTGTATCCATAAATCATTTCATATTAGGCTTTTCTATTGGATGAGGCCCATTAGCTCACCAAGCCCACCATGCCCGTTTCCATTTTCTATATATATGTGTGGCTTCACTTTACATAATGTATGATTTCTAAACCCTAGCCAAACCTCCTCTCCCAACTCTTGCATTCTATGTATATTTTGTCCGGACATTAACTTAATTGTTGGAGTACAAATAATCGCTAGATCTTTTTCTCGATCGACAGCATTTGCCTCCTAACGGGATGTTCCGTGTGCAGGTAACATCCACGTGGAGGGGACGTGGCGAGGATTTTGTTGGCAACATTTTTTGGAATCAACAAGATTGTTTCGGGGGAATCGGCATCCGAACTATAGAAGCGAGAGACTCCTTGAAGTGGGGGAGAGAATCGTATGTAAAATTATCAAAGCTAATTTCGATCGTGCAATATGTACATGCACGTGTAGCATAAGTTTTATTCTTTTGAACATTATAATAGTAATATATTTGTATCAAAACAAGCTTAAACCAAATAAATAAATGAAGAAAAGGTTCAGCCACAAAATTTAAGATTACAAATTCATTATTTTTGAAATAGATAATAAGAATCTTTTTATAAATCATTATTTTCCTAAAAAGACAATAGAAGCCATTAGCAATTAAATTTATTAAAATATAACATGAACCAATAAATAGTAATTTGGGTAAAACAAGTAATTTTATTGATTTGGTTTGGTTCCAAACGAATTTTAACTATTGAAACATAAATCAAATAATTTACAAATTGTTTGCTTCGATTTTTGAAATGTTAGAATCAAACAACCATGTTTGATCCCACTTTTTTAGATAGTGAGAATATGCGATCAAAAAATTAAAAAAAAAAAAAAAGTTTTAAATTTGTACGTAATATAATTTTATTGAAGAATGTGTGATTAAAAAGAAGAAAGAAAAATATATTTTAAAAATAATAAAGATCAAATAAGGACCGAATATTTTTCTCATAACCATTTTCAACCACATTTTCACTATAAAATATTCTTCACGTTAGGCCTCATTTGTTTCCAATTCTTTGGCCAAAAAAATAAAAAATATGACAGCTACCCATCACATCAAGCCATCATATTTGACTTCCTCTTTTTTATGTGGGTCTCATAACGGCTATATTTTTCATTCTCATTCTTATAAGAATAAGAATCAAATGGGAGCGTAAATTCAAAACTTTTTCCTACTTTTTAACTACATTCTCCACAAAAAATAGTTGTCAAACAGGGACTTGCCGCAGAAGATTTATACAAATGCAGGCAAATCAATAGGTTGACCTCAACTTTACGGTATTTGGTCAGCTTTGCCATATACCGACTACGGTAAAAGCTTTAAAAAAATGATCGAAATAATCTGATACAACATTAATTAATCCATAAAATACAAAAAACCACTGTTTGATTCCACTGATTAAAAGGATCAACAAAGATAAACTTGAAAGTCGATCTCAACGATCACGTAGAAACAAGTATATCCACTGTCTGATTCCATTGTTGTCACGAAAAGCTCTCTCTGTTGATATGAGCAGCCTCTCAACTAAAACCTGCCAATTACCATAATGGAAGGAGAAAATTTCAGCCTCTGTATGCTGGAAGTAAAAATCGACATTTTATATGCACACACGGAACCAAGAGCATAAACAAACTAGTTATCTCACTTCCACAATATGTACGAGTTCAGATAACACTGGTTTGATGAACAAACTAGGGTATCTTATACAATTGCTGTATTTAAGTCCAGATATGTTGGCTTCCCCCGTCGAGGATGACAAGATCGATATTCATAAAATTAGCACAAAAAAGATACTCTGATTCTATTCAACCTACTATGTAGGGTTGGACTTCTGGCCTGGTCGTCATAGGGGGAACTTTCAGTCAACTCTAACAGTCCTCGGGGCCGGTCGAACCTTATGGTGAAGTTGGGTTCATTCATAAAATAAAATAAAATAAAAAATTGGGATGGATGTTTTTGCACATGAAACAAGTAAACTTATCCTTATCCTAATCCTATACTTTTCTCACGTCAGATATTTTGCTCGTCTGGAATGTACAATCAGTATATTAGCTCTCATTGCTTATCTTATAGATAAAATCTTAAACTAGAGACATTTATAATATAATACGTTTTTGTCAAGAATGTCCAATCAAGAATATGATCTTAAAGTTTCAAACTAAAGTCATCAACAAAATAGTTCATGACTTGATAAACATAATCGCCCTCATTATCACCACTGCTTCTAACTCGAATCATATATGTGGCAGTTATAACCAGAAAAGCTTAGGATGGTTCGATTAGTATATTTTCATATTTCACAAGCATATGATCCTTTTCCACCAGAGCTCCTCTCTATGGAGTGTTTTGCAGTAAAGGGCTCGGTAACACTGAGGGCCTGATTCGTTCAGTTTCAGGTTTTCTGACGGCCTGCGAAATTAGATGATGAAAACAAAGCATTCTATCAAAGCAAAAAATCACACACACATACTTCCATTTTTTTGCAATGCTTCGAGTTGTACAAGCAAACAACAAGGACTGTTAATAGTCTTCAACTTCTATTATTAAAAGACTTACGGTCTCACTACCAATGTGCCTATTCCTTTAAGTCTATCTAACACCCAATAACTAATACCAGCATATCCGTTGATGCATTTAGCAATCAATTATCTCCAATTTGAACGGTTAGAATAACTCCAAATAAATTTTTTCCATGTTCGTCAGAGGCATTTCCAGTTGTTTTTGATGGACAACAGCCAGAACATTTACGTACATAACAAGATATAGAAAAAACCACAAACAAGAAACCTCATAAAATTGTTAGCTTACATCTTGGATAAAATTGCAGAGGTATCATGAAAAACTTGAAAATTGAAGAGAATATCCAAGTCAACAGATAATTCCTAAAACAACTTACAGAATCCATACAATAATCGTCATCCAAGGTTTACTTGCACAATCAACATATATAGGGAGACCTTGTGCCAAACCACAATTCATATTTGTCAATATGATTTTGCAGTATAAGTTTTCTTAAATGAAATTACACTATCTAATAACAATCATCGAACCAAAGTCGAGCATGGGGCATTTTTATGATCCGTTCGAAATGAGCCCACCCAAACAGCAGGATTGACATTCCAGAAAAATGTTCAATTGTAAACCAATTCATCATAACATAAAAGAATAAACTCCTATGCAGGTCAACTTTCCATAACACAAAAATATGCAGTCACATAAGTAGATAGAAGCACTAATGAGTAGAGTGAGAAGGTTAAAAGGAAAGGATGATTTTATACAAACCTGGTGATGCAGAATTAGCAGTCAAATTCCGACGAATAATCCGACTGTTACCCAGTTCCGAGGACCCAATCAGCTCCCTCAACCCCATATTTCCCACCTTCTCCTCCTCTTTTTCCTTCCCCTTTCCATCCTCCTTCACGTCATCATCATCCCTTTCCTTCTTTTTCTCCATACGTTTCTTCGGATTCACTCTCTCAAAATAATTTCCATATATGTACTCTGGGGTATACCCGTTCTCCTCATCAAACAACATGATATGCCCATGCCACTCCCAGACCCTGTAATCCGACCCGGTCTCCTCATGAAAACCGACACAAATTTGATGCTCCCCGATCGTCACAGCTTGACCCGAATTGGGCTTCAATTTTTCAGTTTCTCCACTGAGAATAGTGCGGACGATCTCCTTTTCAAGCCTGGACTCTTCCTTTGCCAGCTGGGTCTTGTCGGAGTCGTTTTCTGAATCAGAGTCGGAGAGGTTGAGGAAGGCATCGGAAAAGAGAAGGTCTTCGAGGGACTGAGAAGAGAGAACAGGCGGCGGTGGGGTTAAAGGGGTATGGAGAGTTGGAGGGCGGATTTGGAGGCGGCCCATAAGGGACTGGAGGAGGAGATTATCGAAGTTAGGAGTAGTGGTGGAGTTGAAGGAGCTGCCCATGGTGGCGTGGAATTTTGCCTGAACGGGGTTCTTGGAGGGTTTTCTGGGTTTGAGTATAGAACAAATATCAGAGATTACAGGAGAGACATTTGAGGAATTGGCATAGCCAGAGTTAATTCTTTCAATGTTCACTGAACTTAGTTTCATGTTTTTTATTAGTAATTGAAATTTAAAATATTGAGTTTTGATTATTGAATTTAGATCAATATTTTCCATTGCTCACTAAACTTAGATCCATGTTTTAGATTGCTTACTGAAATTTAAAATGTGAAATTTTGGCTATTGAACTTTGAAATATGTCGTACGTTATTCACTAACATAACTGTTTAACTTTGAAAAATATCAAATTTATAGTAAGTAATATACAATATTTTTCAAAGTTAACTGGACAAAACTCGACATTTTAAATTTCAGTGAGCAATCGAAAATATGAACCTAAATTTAGTGACCAATCAAAGACATAGACCTAAATTTAGTAACCATTGAAACAATTAACTCGAATAACCCTAGGGGGCAACAAGATGTTTGGTGGAGTAAAAAAAAAAAAAAAAAAATTAAATAACTTTTCAATCTCTACCTAATACAAATAACTTTTATCTTGCTAACTTATTTATTTTCTAATATGCTTATAAGTAAACATTTTAAAATTATCTCCTTCGTAAATTTTTCATCTTATTTTAAATTTTTTCTTGTTAGCTATATTTATCTAAATAAACATCATGTAGACAAATAAAAGAGTTTGTCTTAATTCCCAACAAGTACAAGAGTTGCACGAAATACTTCTTTATAGTTATTACAATAAAATAACACAATTATAAAAGGATTCCTCGATGATCACAACACCACTCCTATTGTACACTAAAAGATACAAAAAAATACATAAAAATTCGTGTAATTGACACAAGTGCATGAGGATAATAATAAAACGGTCGTAAACCTTCTAGAATCCCAAGCCATTCCTATGAAATGCCGAGGTGTGCATCCACCATGTGCTTGACCTTAGATACTCGAGTTTGTGGACTAGAGTCTAGTGTTAGCTGAGCAACAAGTTAGAATCTATCGATGTCTTGCTACCTAATCGTGGCCTGCATGCAACCTAAATTCGATGCATTCAGTAGTTGCCAAGCACGTTGGACAATTTGCCCGTGCACCATATTCACACACTATCTTCCAACCTTTCTTCACGAAAGAAACTAGCTTTTGTCTGGCACAAATTCCCCAGACATCCCACATCATAGGCATATTTCATCCTAGACTACAGAACGAGGGCAAGGCATGCCCATGCCATAGCCAATGCCAACTTATAAGGGCTTACACTAGGTGTGTAAATTTGGGTCGACTTGTTTAGCCCTTGTCTTACAACACTTTTTTCCCAAAATTAAGAGCAATTTTTGTACCGTTGTTAAAGTGAAGTGACAGCACCCTTGAGAAGGAAGTCAACAAAAGTAGGTTGAAATGAAAGGACACGTCAAAAAAATGGTTAAAATCAGGTAGAAAATCAGAAAGAGACGGAGACCTAACAATATATTGAAATAAATACTAGATAATAACAGGCTCAAAGGGTTTTCTTTTAGAAATTAATACAAGTACTCAATTGCAACTTTTAACACTTTTTTCAACTTTCAAACTACCTTTACTGGTAATGCTAGTAAAAAACGAATGCTGCCTTGTTACCTTCTAAAATGAATAGAAACAACTCTTATAAATCTGATTCTCGACCACTTATATATACGCTCTAATACAAGGTACTACTTCAACGAAAACAATTTTTGTGATTTTTCTCAGTTTCCAGGCTCTTTGTCAGGGGGCAGTTAAAAACATGCCTAGTTTTATATCACGTGAAACAAGATGATGAGGACATCCTTATAGTTGGACTTTTATTATTGTTTCAGTATTTTAGTTGGACTTTTATTATTGTTTTAGTTGGACTTTTATTTAAGTTTACGTATTTTAATTAGGACTTAAATAATGGGCTTGGCTCTATATTTCTAGGTTTTCATTATTTAAACCTATCATTGGTTTGTAATTTCTCAGTTGATGAATTGATTAAGAATTATGAAGTTGGCTTGGCCGTTTTCTCTCCTCCTCCCCGCTTCTGCCTTCTTCTTCTCTTCTCCTCCCCCTTCCCTTCTTGTTATTTATTAATCTCCCTACATCAAATTGGTATCAGAGCCAGACAGCTTGCACAATTACAAAACCAACTAACAGCAGTCCAAACTGAGGTAGCCGCTACTCGTGAAGAGAATAGAGCCCTAACCGCTAGGTTGAATACTCTTGACCCAATCCCATATTCCACTGAGGCTGAGAACTCTGAGGCTTCCATTAATAGGCCTCATCGTCGCCCACAAGGTGGTCGACACCACGCCCGACATGGTCGTAGGGAAGGAAATCAGGCTCGGGAACGAGAGCGGGGGTATTACCGTCATGGTACACAATCTCCCCCTCGCCACGAGGAGCGCCTCTTTCGAAACATTAAGTTGGATGCCCCTACGTTTGACGGTTGTCTAGATCCTAGTGCATTCAATCAATGGGTTAGAGATATGGATCGCTTCTTTGCATGGTATGGGGTCCCGGAAGATCGGAGGGTACAATTTGCCAGTTTGAAGTTAACTGGCACTGCTCAGCTCTTTTGGGAGAGTGTTGAGGACCTCCTTGAAAGACGTCATGCTCCCCCTGTTGGGAGCTGGGGTGAAATGAAGCGTCGCCTTCAAGAAAAATATTTACCCCAATCTTATAGGGGTAACTTGCTGGATCAATGGAACGCACTTACACAAGGCAATCGACCTGTGACCGAATATGTTGCTCAGTTTGATGAGTTTCGAATGAAGTGCCAGGTTGTTGAGGATGAAGTTATGACTTTGAGTAGGTTTAGGCAAGGGTTAAGAGACGAACTTAGGCACGAGCTTGTCCTTAGGGGTGTCACCACTCTCGACCACGCCTACTCTTTCGTTCGGGATTATAAATTAGTGACTAGGACACCGTATAGAAATCGTAGTGACTCCCGCACTACAACCTCATCTGCATCCACGCCATCCCCTAGGTCTATTCTAGGTCCTCTTCCCTCTAATACTACCCCTGCATCGGATAACAAAGGTAGAGGTTCTGAGGTTTCAAGGACATCCTCCCGTTTGCAATGCTTCAATCGTTCGGGATTATGAATTAGTGACTAGGACACCGTATAGAAATCGTAGTGACTCCCGCACTACAACCACATCTGCATCCACGCCATCCCCTAGGTCTATTCTAGGTCCTCCTCCCTCTAATACTACCCCTGCATCGGATAACAAAGGTAGAGGTTCTGAGGTTTCAAGGACATCCTCCCGTTCGCAATGCTTCAACTGTAAGGGTTTTGGTCACATTGCTTCTAAGTGCCCTAGCCGAGCCCTAGTTCTGGACGAACGTGAGGATATAGTCGTCGAACCACTAGAGGATCAGGTTTATGAGCCTAAGTTAGAAGAGTTTGAAGACTTGGAGGACAGTGAGGATACCTTCTTAGGTTGTATTCAGGCTAGTCCCATTATCCCACATACACCCAGAGTCGGTGTCGTCCGTTGCACCCTCACCCAGCCTAAGGATGCCGACGATTGGCGCCGTCATGCCATCTTCCACACCTACATCAAGATTAATAACAAGGGCTGTAAAGTTATCGTGGATAGTGGCAGCTGTATTAATGCGGTTTCGAAGGCTACTATATCCCGTCTAGGGTTGAAGCCAGTTCCTCACCCCCAACCATACAACATCTCTTGGGTTGATACCTCTTCTATAGCTGTTAAGGAACGTTGTTTAGTCCCTATCCAATTCCTGGAGTATAAGGACCATATATGGTGCGACGTCATTTCAATGGATGTCGGGCACATCATCTTGGGACGACCTTGGTTATTTGACCTAGATGTAACCATATGTGGCCGATCCAATTCCTGCTCCTTCGTGTTTAATGGAAAGAA